AAAGAAAGTATCTGTAAACTCGGTAGAGTTCTGATTTTTTTCAACCATCTGGTTTGGCTTCAAATGTAAAACCACCCTCAATTACATAACCTTCTGCAAAAGAAATAAAGCAAAACAGTAACCAAATATCTCGTCAGATCCAAGTACTGTCCCCAGGAGACTGGAAGAATAAGAAAGTGTCTCTTTTTCTTTATAAAGCAGCACCTGCAGGTGCCAGAACTCTGCCACGTGGTACCAGCTCCAAAACACTGCAAAGTGGGATATTCTGAACACTCCACTTTGGTCATTTTTACTCTGCTGTGGGTTTTTTGTTTGTTGGCTTTGGTTTAGTTTTTGCATTACTGGGGACTGAACTCAATGCCTTCACTGAGCTACAAAGCCCTTTTTATTTTTTATTTTGAGACAGAATCTCACTGTGTAGCCCTGGCTGGCCTCAGCCTCCTGAGTGCTGGGATTACAAGTGGGCACCACCATACCCGGCCATTTTCTCAATTTTAAAGAACCTCTTTTATCCAATTCATTATGAGAGTGTTGGTAGAAAAAAATCTCAAAACAAAATTTCCATTGATTAAAGGCACCAGTGGTAGCATTTGTACGTTTTAAAATTTAGAGGGCAGGGGATATAACTTAGTGGTAGATCACTTGCTTAGCATGTGCGAGGCCCTGGGTTTTATCCCTGGCACTTCAAAAAATTAAATCTGAAAAAGATTTAGATCTGTAAAATTTGAACCATAACAACCAGTCATCTCAGTAAAAAAAAAGAGCGAAGTGGAAAAATAGCCAAGAAACTTGAACACACATTTCCAAATGGCGAAGAAATGTGTGGGAAAGGTAGGCAGCACGTCAGAAATCGGGCACCGCAGGTTAAACCCGTGACAAGACCGAGGGACAGCAGTGAGAAAGCACCTACAGCACCAGTGTGCGGACATGTGGCTGTCCCAGGAGCGCGTTCCGTCTTTGTGTTCGCTTCAGCGATAACAGGTATTACATGGAAGGCTGCACACTGGCCATTCAATGTGGACCATTTGTATTTGTCTTCTAGCAACTACCAGTTCTTACTTTTTCCAGAGTTGGGCATCAAACCTAGGGGCTCACTGTCTTTTCATAGTCTATACTCATTTTTCTATTAGGCTTGTATTTTTTAAACAGTTCTTCATTTTTAAATCTTTTTCACTAATCAGAGGTCTGTATTTCAAAACTTAAAAATTAAGGAATAATGAACGCTCATCATAACAATTATACACAAAGATTTAAGACTTGGAAGTTTGTTTTTATAATGCTTTGTGGAGAATAATTTATTTGAATAGTAATTCTTTGTCTATAAGACAAGTTGAGAATATTTTCTCCTAATTGTTGCATGACCAGTTTCACTAATTGGCTTTGAGTATGCAAAAGTTTTTATGTTATACAGCTGGATCTGTCAGTTTTGTCTTATTATTTCTGGGCCCAGGGAGGTGCTCTTCATATAAGATTATAGTCATCTCATATTTGTACAATACACTTACATTTTGGTATTCTCTTTATTTCTTCCTAGTCTAACTCAAATTTAACTTTTAGTGTGGTATGTGATAGTAAAACTCAGTTCAAAATTGTAAGTTTGCAGTTGAAAAATGGAAGCACAGGAGCAGGGTAGGGTGGTGCCTGTCGTAATCCCAGCTTCTTGAGAGGCTGACACAGAAAGTTCCCAGGTTGGAAGCCAGCCCAGGCAACCTGGTGAGGCTGCTTAAAAATAAAATAAAAAGGTCTGGGGATGTAGCCTAGTGGTAGAACTCATGCTTAATAGTGAAAGGCCATGGGTTCAATACCCAGCATCAAAAAATATATATAAATAAAAAGAATTATATATATGTAATTATGCAAAGCCACATTGAAGTAGTTAGGTTGCACTGATATTCTCTCAGGCTAAGAAAAGGAAGTGGAGAACAGAGAAACCACTTTCTAGACTTGTATGTGAACTGCTTAGGGCTGGGCTGGGTGGAGCTTGCACCCACCTGGCAGATCGACATGGCTTCGTGGACTCATCTTGAGTGGGAAACATCTCAGCCTCAGGACAGCCCCTGTTAATTCTTACAACACTCACCAATCCAAAGGGGAAGGGAATCCACTCAGAGAAAGGAAGGGAAAACCAAAAGAAAGCAGAAAGCTCAAAGATGCTGTGCGCACTACCGTATCCGAGACAGAGTGTTCCGGAGCCCGACCACATAGAACATGATGTTGGCATCGGTGTTGCTGTAGATGCTGTTGATGGCAGCCATGGTGGCGCCCAGCCGCCCAGCTGCAGCACAGATTACCACGGGGATCTCATCTTCCAGGTCCTCTGGGGGCTCCGAGACCTCATCTGCAAACAGCAAGATCAGTGTCTCAGGACAGGAAGGAACTTCACAGCAGAGCAGTTTAACTCACCTTCCACACTCCTGGAGGAAGACAGCAGAGCGGGGAAGCGACTGACTGCTCCTGAGTCACCAACATCCAGCCTGTCCTTCCTCCCCCAGGAAAGAGGGGGACCTTTCACCCGCACATAGCCACCCACTAAGACTGCTTCCCCAGACTCCCTTGCAGCTATGTGTCCTGACAACAGCTTGTTAGTTCAAGCAATGTGTGCGGCTACAGGGTCCACCCTTTGAAAGGGCTCTTGCTCTCCCTAGAAGGAATTTTGATCTGGAAGACTGCAGAACTGACACATCAGATTTTCCTTTGAAAGAGAAATTAAACTTCTAAGTCCCAGTTATTCTGGAGCTCTCTTATAGAAGCCAGTCTAAAACACACACACACACACACACACACTCGAAAAATATATGAAGAACTAAAAGTCTCATTGGTGTAGCTGTTCTCAACTCTTCCTTGAATCAGAATAGTGGTCACTTGCCTATGTTTCTATAAAATGTACTGCTTGTGAATTTCTTTCCTTCTAGACACTCTTTAGTTAAGCTTCTCAAACATGACAGCGAGATAAAGGAGATGAATGAAAAGCCAAATGCACAGGATGGATAACTGATTTTTTCTGTTCAGCACTGAAAAGAGATAAATACCAATGCCAAAGCAGCATATCTTAGAACCACAATACAGCGTCCAGGTGTGCAGAATAATAATTACCCATATGTAGCATATCCACTGTCAGATGGCACCCAAGTTGTACTTAAAACTCAGTCTCCTGGGCCAGGGATTTAGCTCAGTGGTTTCGCTGCCTGCTGCACAAGCGCAAGGACCTGTGTTCGATCCCCGGTACCCCCCCCACAAAAAAAAACTGTCTCCTTTACAGATACTGTTTTTTCAAAGCCTCTATCACTCAGGCCCAAGGCAGTTCTAGCTGGCATTTACTTCAGCAAGCATGAATGGAAACTCACACCCAGGTACTACAATCTGTGCAATTTAAGAAGCACTACATGGCCTCCCCTCATCCTACGTCTTTTTCACCAGCCTGTGAAACATCACAATTTCCACCACTAGCATAATTTTGCCTTTATGATGTGTTTCCTGACATGAGAGAATGTTCCTAATACTATGCTACTGGGGGGAAGGAATACAAAATTCTCTTTAGTATCTGATCCCAATCCAATACATTTCCAAACGGACCCATGTCTACTTCTGCAATCATTTGTAATTTTAACTTTATTTGTTCTTTTACATTTTCCAAATTCTCTAAAGTAACCTTTTTCTTTTCGAGACAAGGTCTTGCTGTGCAGTTCAAGCTGGCCTTCAGCTCACTGTGTACCCCAGGCTGGCCTTGAACTTGTGGCTATCCTCCTGCCTCGGCCTCCCAAGTGCTGGGATGACAGGTGTGTCCCACCACACCTGGTGCATGATTTCTTTCTATAACAAGCCAAATGTTTGTTTCTAAGGACTGTCCCTTTTGGAGTGGGTTGTCCTCTTGAGAAGTTACCTGCAGGCAGGGACGTGGTCTGCCTCGAGTGCAGCATGCCCATGCTTCCTGGGGTGAAAGTTCTCCGTGGTTTGCTTGGCACAGGAAGCCCCTCGAAAGGCGGCCCCAGCTTCCTCCCGCAGCCTTGCTTCCTTGTCCAGCCACACCATACTGCCGTGGATCCCTGCACGCTGAGCCCTTCGCTCCTGTCTGCACATGCTGTCTCCACGCGGGGAGGCCCCTGCCCCTCTGCCCAGCTCACTGACACATCAGCGCAGGCCAGACCCTCCGCAGGTCCCTAACTTTGGCTCCCGACTCAATGCCCTGCTGTGATGGATTTCAGCTGCGCTGCATCTCTCCTCCCCTCCTATCTCACAGGCACTCTGAAGGGCAGAAGCGGCGTCCTGTTTATCCCAGCTTTCTCTGCATGCAGCCCCGCGAAGGGCACAGGGCACATTCTCCAGACATTCTAGGTGGAGGAGAGATGGCTGGATGGGTTTGTTAGCCCTTGGCACTTGGCGTCTGAGGAGTTAGTTACCTGGCGGCCTCTCATGGGACTGCGAGCTCGCTTGGATCCCCGCTGAACCCTGCACTTGGAGACGCTTAGTGAACTTCGGACGCGAACTGAGTGGATGGGAGCGCTTCACAGGCCACCCTCAGGGCAAACCGAGAGAGGGGCGCAAAGCAGGGGCAGAGCCCGGATCCCAGGCGCAGAGCAGGGCGTTTAGGCAGCAGGCGCTGTGAGCTAGGAGGAGGAGGTGTCCGCAGGACAGGGGCACCGAGAGAAGGCCAAAGGTGTACATAGGTGAGAACAATATACCGTGAAGGTTACGTTTTTAAAAATTTACTACAGTAAAAGACACATTGCCAATGAATCCTCCTCACTGAGAACTCTCATCCATCATCCTTGCCACTTGCTGAAGAGCTCTGGAGTCCTCTTTCGTGAGTGTCTTTATAAGATGTGATAAAAAATACAGTGAATGCTGCTGCCAAGCACCATCCAGAGGAATAGTAGCTTGTAAAAACGTGACAGCCTGTCCTCACCCACTTTATTCACTGGATCTGGCACTGTGTGAGATCCAGCTGTTCCCCAGCGTCAAAATGACCATGACAGGGAAATGTTTTGAATCGATTCAAGGCATCGAAGCAACCAGGACAGTGCAACTAAAGACCCTCAGGAAAGAGGACTACAGAGCTGCTGCAGAAAGTGGCAAGGAGAATGGAATGAGTGTGTTGGAAGGAAGGGGGAAGATTTTGAGAGAGATTCATAGCAATGTGTCTTTTACTGCAATAAACTTTTTTAAAAAATTGAAACGGGCTGGGGGTTCAGCTCAGTGGCACCGCGCCTGCCTCGTAAGCACAAGGTCCTGAGTTCCATCTCCAGTACCAAAATAAAGGAAAATTTTCTAATAATATTCACCGTAGTTTTTGATCACACCTTCATCATCTCTGCCAAGACACTTCCCCTGCCACACTTAAGACCCTCTGCCAGTCAGGGAACTGGTGCCACCCTAAGCCAAAATAGTGCTCTCTGCCGAGCAGTTTCCCCGCACAGAAAGAAGGGGGAGATGCCGGAGATGGTAGGGAAGGCGAATCAACTAAATCCTTTGTCAGCGCCATGCCAGGAGCTTCTCCGGAAACTGCTGCCCTCTGGCTCCACTGTACTAACTGGTACCCGAGCCAGCCTTTCTGAAGGTTGAGCTACAGGCAGTGATTTGGAGGCCAACAAAACCAGAAAGCATCACAGTGATGGGAGAACGGGCTGGGGGTGGTTCCTGCTGGCCCATTCCCGCCCGCTCCTCTTGTCCTGCCACGCCTGCCCCTAGGAGAGGGAAAGGCTCGGAATCCCACTCTGAAAGGGTGGTTTCAGCCACGTCCATCAACCTGCCTTGCAGCAGACGACCTGGGGTGAGTCACCAGTGCGTGAGCCCCGGGAGATGGAGACGCCGTTGCGGGATGGCATCTTGCTTTTCTGCAGCTAGGACTCCACAGGGCTCTGCACGCTAACTATAGCACTGGTTCCTTGAATCAGTGTTTCTTAACTTATAAAATTTAATATGCACTTCTTGCAAGAATTGCTCCGCACACTGAAGAATGTCTGGAAAATCCTGACTATTTTGTGGGTCTCCACACCCATTCCAAAGGGCGAGCTCTGCTACCAGTGTGAAGAGCGCCCCCCAGCCCAGCCTCACTTCACAGAGATTCTCAAGGATACAGATATAATCTTGACATCCTGGTGGAATAATATTTTTCAAACTCTTCTGCAACTTGCTCTTACACTTAACACATGTGTAAGGACATCTCCCCTGGTCAACACTGCATTGTTTTGAATGGTATTTCAGTGACACGGATTCTTTTTAGTTTTAACACAGAATGGGATAAAAATGTGCCACTGGTCCATTCATGTATCCCAAGTGCTTTGTTCATTGTATATCGCTGACTAATCAGCCAAGACGAGCTTTTCCATGCAGCTGTTTTCACAGCTGTTTTAAGACTTCTGCCCTGGGATGAGCAGAGTGAGTGTGCTGGTTCTGGCCAGGGACTGAAGCTTGGGGGGGCGTGTGACCTTGTGTGTCCTCCCACCTCCCTGTCCTCTGAACATCTTCTTTCGGAACAATACACAATGCAGATACCGCGATGGATGAGACTGGTCCTCCAAAGTTTACATGTCCAAGTTCTGACCCCTGGCACCTCTGGATGTGACTGTGTTTGGAGGCAGAGCCTTTAAAGAACAAATTGGGTAAAAACGAGGTCATCAGGATGGTGCCCTAAGCAGAAAGCACTGCTGCTCCGGAAGAGGAAGAGACACCAGGGACAAGTGCAGAGGGAGGCCATGTGCAGACACGGCGAGCAGGAGCCACCCAGAAGCCAAGGACAGAGGCCTCAGGAGACGCCAGCCCCGCTGGCACTTCGCTTGGCCCTCCAGCCTCCAGAACCATGAGAAAATCAGCATCTGTGGTTCCACCGCTGAGTCCCTGGTGTTTTCATGGCAGCCGGAGCAGACGAAGGTGGATCTCTTCACATTTACGCAGTAAGCATGCAGTTCAGTGAATTCTAGCAAATCTGTGAAGCTGTTACAGCCATCGCCACAGCCCAGTTTTGGAATGCTGCTGTCCCCCTAAAGAGAACCCCTGAGCCATCTGCAGCCAGTCCTTGCCTGCTGCCCGTCTCTGCAGATTTGCCTTTCCCACACACTTTGCAGAAGCAGGATTGTGCAATAGATACAGTCTGTGGAGACTGGGTTCTTCTGTTCAGCAGAGTGACTTTTTTTTCCCCCCATTTTAATTGTTTTTTATTGGTACATTTTAGGTATACAATATAATGACATTCATCATTGGAAATTTGCATCTTTACATACTCTCTCTTGGTTCTTATTTTTCCCCCTCCCGTTTCCCCTTCCCCTTTGTCCCTTTTCTTCCTACTTCACATTATCTATTATGCCCTTTTCTTTCTTTTTTCTTTTTTGTACCGGTACCAGGGATCAAACTTAGGACCTTGCACTTACAAGGCAGGCATCAGAACCACTGAGCTAAATCCCCGGTCCAGCAGAGTGACTCTTCTGGTGTTTTGTCTTGTTTTGTGGTGCTGGGATTTGAACCCAGGGCCACATGCATGCTAGGCAAGTCCTCTGCTGCCGGGCTGTGCCCCAGCCCCATGGCAGAGTTTGAAGTTCGGCCCTGTCTTAACCTGCATCACTAATCTTCCATGCTGCTGCTGGAGAGGACTCCACAGAGTGGCCCAGTGCGTTTCCTCTCTCCGTGCACCGCCGGTGAGCGTGTCCTCGTGTGAGTCAAGCCTGTGAACATCAGCATAGACGGCTCTGTGCAGAACCAGTCCTCTTTCCAGCTGCACATGTTTTAAATGACTTTTAAGTGATTTTTAATTGAAAAAACAACCAGAAAGAAGCGTGTGTGTTGTGGGAGGGGAAACACAGCTTTGTTCACTAGGTGTCCCCGGGCCCCAAGCATGGAATGGGTGTGTGTGCGACACACCGCAGTATGAGCTGTATCTGTCTCATGCAGCCACAGCCCACGTTTGTCTCTTCTGTATTTTCCATATGTGAGTGTATTCACTTGGCTCTTATAGAAAGTACTTTAATTAAAAATAGAATAAACACACTACCAGGGCGTGTTCATTTTTGTGGGGGTTGACTGCATGGATACCGTGTGGCTCACCCCAGGGAAGGAAACAGGGCTCTCGGCACCCTGGCCAAAGACCAGGGGTCAATACAGGGTTGTCCTGAGTTGAGCGAACTGACGAAGTTTGGTCACTTAATAGGAATGGGGGGTGCAATTTTCATAAGCAAACTGTGGAGCTCATCAGAAATGGAAACTCTCAGCCAGGTGTGGTAGGGGTCGCCTGTACCCCCAACAAGTGGGAGGCTGAGGAAGGAGGATCAAGTCCAAGTCTTACCTGGACACTAGTGACTTAGTGGGACTCTCTTTTCAAAAAAAAAAAAATGGGGATGGAGCTCAATGTGAAGGCCCTGTGTTCAATCCCAAGTTGGGAAGAAAGAAAAGACAGAAAAAGGTGAAGAAAAATGGGATTCTCAGGCCCTACCCGCCCCTAGGCTTCCAAAGCTGTCGGAGGGTAGTGGTGGGTTCGCCCTTAGCGTACCCTCCAGGTGACTCCGCGCCAGTCCGAATGGGCCGGGCCATGTGAGCCACGCCTCACACGCCTGACACAGGTCCCTCCCCGGCCGGCCGCCCCGAGCCCACGCCCGCCTACCTGCCTGGTGCCCGGGCCCAGCGCCCTTGCGCCCTTTCTTATACAGAATCCCGCAGAGCGTCAGGATCAGAAGGAGCAGCAACACTTGATTGACTGAAAGGGAAACGGAAGCGGGTCGGCATTTACACTTTCTGAGTAAGAACCGGTACTGACGGCAGGCGGGCCCTTAGCCGTCAGAACACAGCTGCCTCTCAATCAGTTCAGCGCCCGGCCAAGCTCGATGTGAGCCAATTCCTGCCCTGGGTAAGGTCGGGAGAGCCCAGAGCGCCTGGCAGCCGTGAGCCTAGGGCTCTCGGGTCCGCAGTCGCAGGGCTTGCGCTTGGAGTGTGCGGAGAAGTGGGGTAAGTGGAACAGTGTCCCCGGGTATGGGCCACACACAGCTGTGCACGAAATCACAGAGGGCGCTCGTATCGTGGCCTTAGGTCAGCGTGGAAAAGCCAGCGTTTCTGACTGAAAGTCCTCGGCTTCCCCTTGTGAGTCAGACAACTCTGCCCCGAGAGCGCAGGAACGTCAGTGCGTCTCCCCTCAGATTCACAGACCTCTCAGGGCTTTAATGTCTGGGGACTTGATTTGATCCTTCAAGAACAGGGATACGGAATACAGAAACGCAGCCTGGGACACGAGGTTGAGGGTTTGGTTAGCATGAGAGCACAGATCCTATTTGCCAAGCTTTGTGGAAGTGCGTGGCCCTCCTCACGATAGGCCACTCTGACAGAAAGACTTCACTTTCTGCAGGCATCACCCTGAAATGAGAAAGCCCAAAACCGCCTCGGGAAAACCATCCACGACAATCAAGAAGATGCCGGCCAGGGCTGAGCGTCAAAATACTCTTTTGACGGATCTTTTTTAATCATTATTTTCAAAACCTGTGATCTTACTTTTTCGCAGCAGCGCCATGTATGTCCACGTTGGTAAGGGCTGACACCTGCGGATTGAAGAATAAAATTTAGTTTCAATGAGAATCGACTCAAAGTCATCTGCAAGTGTTTGGGACCCTGTCTTCTCTGAAAGTTGATATGCTGGGGGGGCCAGGGATTTAGCTCAGTGGTTTCACCACCTGCTGCACAAGCACAAGGACCTGAGTTCGATCCCCGGTATCAAAAAAAACCCCACAAAAACAAAACTGACATAAAACAATTAATCTTTGCCGGGGATTTAGCTCAGTGGTTCCGGCGCCTGTTGCGCAAGTGCAAGGTCCCGAGTTCAATCTCTGGTACCAAAAAATGTATATAAATATTAAATCTAGGATTTTGGGGCCAGGGATTTAGCTCAGTGGTTTCGCCACCTGCTGCACAAACGCAAGGACCTGAGTTCAATCCCCGGTACCAAAAAAACCCCCCAAAAATCCAGAATTTTGGAGAGAATATAAATATTTCTTGATCCTTCTGACTGAACAAACTATATAACGAGTCCCCAGCACTATGTTCTGCAATATTTGATTTGTGCCCAGAAACCAGGCAAGTTAACAAACTCTCTGTCCTCCAGATACACCTGTTAACAGCTGTAATAGCTCTGCTATAACTACGCTTCCTGGCTTTTGCAGCCTACTGTTTACTCATCTATAAACTTAGCAAAATTGCTTAGATATTCACCAGCAGCAGTGGACATTTAGATACACAGGACAGCTGGGCATGATGGCACACGCCTGTAATACCAATTACTCAGGAGGCTGAGGCAGGAAGATCACACGTTTAAGGTCAGCCTGGGGAATGCAGCAAGACCTTGTCTCAAAATAGAAATAAAAATAAAAAGAGAGGAAGAAAAGGGAGGAGGGGAGGCTGGAGAGGCAGTTCAGTGGGGGAGCAGCTGCCTAGCATATTCGAGGCCCTGGGTTCAGTGATAGCAGGGCAGTTTCAATAAAAAGATGAAGTTCTGGGGCTGGGGATTTAGCTCAGTGGTTCCGGCCCCTGCCGCACAAGCACCGGGTCCCGAGTTTGATCCCCGGTACCAAAAAAAATGAAGTTCAACTATTAGATAAACATTTTAGATCATAAAATTAACTTTAGTCTGGAAATCTAAAATTAAATTTTGACACATTTAAGTGTCCATTCGCTTCTCTGAGCCAGTTTGCTGATCCTCCCACGAGCTGGAAACTGACCTCCTTTGAGTTAAAAAAAAAAAGTTAATTTGCCATAAATAATTTGTCTTGAACATGCAATTTGTTTTACAATGAAGTTACTCCTGAACGTGAGCTTGGGCTGGAGGCTGCAGACAGCAACAGGGAGCCATAGCCCTAAGAAAGGATCTGGACAGAGCCAGCCCACAGGAGGGCCCGAAGGGCGGGGACCCCACACCCGGGTTCCTGAGCCCACAAGTGGGAAACTTCCTGGGCAGTGACCACCTTGCATTCCCTGCAAACAACGGCCGCAAGGCCCTTTTTTTTTTTTGGTACCGGGGATCAAACTCGGGTCCTTGTGCTTGCACAGCAGGCAGCAAAACCACTGAGCTAAATCCCTGGCCTTCCAAGCCCTTGTTTGAAAAAAATATTTAAAAAAAATTTTGAGACAGGATCTTGCTAAGTGCCCAGGCTTGGCTTGAACTAGAAATCCACTTGCCTCAGCCTCCCAAGGTACTGAGATTACAGGTATGCCCACCACACCTAGCTGTTAGGTGCTTGTTATCCATTTATGATTTTAGGGCATGGGTGTCCATCTAACTTTCTGTGGTGATGTAATCTTGGCATGGCCTGTGGCCACCTGGCTCCTTCACTCCGTAACGGAAGCCACCTGGTGCTCAGGAGAGCACAAGGCGGGGACAGGGGGAGCTGAGTCCCCAGGCATCCGCTCACCCAAACCAATTGAGTCCCCATTTTTCCCTGACAATGCTTTGAAATGAGATTCAGTTTCTTGAGAACAGGAGCCCTGAGCAGCAGGCTTGCTGTGCCAGGGTGATGTGTATATGAAGGAGAGGTCGCAAGGGTCAGTCACGAAGTTGCCACAGCTGCTGTTTATTGAAAACTTAAGGTGCTCACAGCCCTGGCTGACCCTTGGGTACACGATCCCCTTCCTTCTTACACCTCTCAGGGGGACACAGCACCATCTGCTTTTCAAATACGGAAAGCAGCTCCGAGTTCCGCAACTGCTCAAAATCACGCTGCCAGGCGTGGCCGAGCAGGGAGTGGGTAGTGCTCTCCAACTTCGAGGCAATCAGCCTGGGATGGTCCTGGAGCCGCCCAGGGCCCTTTCGGCTACACAGGGGCTGGACAAGTTACATACCTGTCGTAGCTTTTAAGTGTTTAAAGTTTTAGAACTCACTTGGTTATATCGTTCTATGAATTTTGATGGACACACACCGTAGATTCATTCTTGCTTTGTAACTGATACATACAAGTTACACGTAATTATGGGGAGTCTGATATTTTGATGCATGTCGACTTTACTGTAGAGTGGTCAAGGGCGCACATGTGTATCCCCTTAAATAATTAACGTTTCCTTACAGGGAAAACACTCCAAATCCTTTCAGCATTTAAAAATATATATACAGTACATTATCATGGTCTGACAGAACAGCAGAACTTCTTTCTCATATCTGACATAACACATGCTCACATTTTTACAATCACCATCACGGCCAGTCATGGTGTTGCATGCCTGGAATCCCAGCACTCTGGGAGACCCAGGCAGGAAGATCCAAAGTTTGAGCCCAGCCTGGGAAAATAAGTGATTTAATGAGAGCTTGTCACAAAATAAATGGAAATGTAGATCAGTACAAAGGCCCTGGGTTCAACCCCCAGTTTAAAAAAAATCATCATTTTGACTGAAGTAGAAAATTTTATTTTTTGGAGGCAGGGTCTCACTATGGAGCTCACCCTGGTCCTGAACTCACTATGTAAAATTCTCGGCGATCTTCCTGCCTCAGCCTCCAGGGTGCCGTGATTACAGGCACGTGCCACCATGTCAGCTTTGGAACAGACAGTTCTATCAGCTGATGCATATTAAAATGATTGAGTGAGAAGCTGTTGGGGAACAAGACGTTCACGGTCACAAAGGATCACCCTGCAGATTCGTTACCAATCACAAAACCAATTTCCTATGAATTATAATGGAGCTGGGGATTTAGCTCAGTGATGCTGCCGCCTGCCCCGCAAGCACAAGGACCCGAGTTCAATCCCCAGTACCAAAAAGAACTAAAATTCTATTAAAGCTTTTGTAACAAACACTAGTTTTTCTCTTTTGTTTGAGACAGGCTCTTGCTATGTAGCTCAGGCTGGCTGTGAACTAACTATGTAGCCCAGGTTAGCCTTGAACTCATAGTGATCTTCCTGCCTCAGCCTCCCAAGTGCCAGGATTACAAATGTACACCACCACGCCTGGCAACTTTCTATCATTTTAATTATCATTAAAATATTCATAAGAATATACTTGTTCTGTAAAAATTATTTATGCCTGAAGTAAGGAAAACAGGATCTACAGTTCAAAAAGAATGTTCAAAAGAGTCCAATTAGCTGTACACGTCCCTGAAATAAAACACAGCAGACTGAAAAATTATGTACCGATTTTCCGAGAACTATGCAATTTGATTGTATAGGGTACTTTCAGCTTTCTAGATGCTGTGCTGTAACCTTACTGGCTGTAAATTTTTGAGAATCTTTTTTTTTTTTCTGGTACCAGGGATCGAACTCCAGTCCTTGAGCTTTCGAGGCAGGCAGCAGAACCACTGAGCTAAATCCCCAGCCCTGGCTGTAAATTTTTAAGTGTAGAGTTCTTTATTGGATATGAGAATATTTTCTTTTTTAAGACTGAAAAAAAAAAAAGTGGAAAACCAAGGCTGTTTTCTGGCAAGGCGTTAGAGCTCTTCTTTCGGTTGGAAAGCAAATTTGAAGTTAACTAGGGGCGGGCTCAGCCTTCCCACTGTGGGCCAAATACCTGCCACCTGCAACTTGAAGGAAGAGGTTTTCATCGCCATGGTTTCGGGCCATGGAGGACAAGATGGCGGAGGAAGCTGCTCTACTCATGGCCTCCAGGAAACAGCGAGCAGGGCAGAGCCGTGCAGAAGGCACCAGGCAGCACGTCTCGCCCCCAGGGTCCCTCACCATGAGCCGCTTCCTCCCACGAAACCCCACTTCGCTCAGCTGTGATCCATCAGGGGGCTGCCCCCTTGATGAGGCAGCATTCTCCGACCCAGCCACCTCCCTGGGAGTCTCCTAATCCAGCTGACAGTCTAGATTAACTGGCACAGTCTGCCCCTTGTCAACCTGACACCCAATCGTATCTCACAAAACCACGGTCAGTCTCCAAATAAACACAATAACCAAGTCATAGCCCCGCCTACCATGACGTGACCATCCTGTCATGTCAACCCCAAACCCGTCCATCCCTTTCCCGTCCATCCCTTGACAGCTCCAGCACAAAAGTCCGAGTCCAAAGTCTCCTCTAAGACTGAAGGCCAAGTCCCAGCTGTGAACCCCTGTGAAATTCAACAAGCACATAATGACCTCCCAAGATTCAGTGGCCCAGGGTAAACATTCCCATTCCAAAGGGGAGGAACAAGGGTATAGAACAGAACAAGACCAGAGCAGGGCCAAAACCCAGTGAGGCAAAATCACACCCTGTAGCTGCGTGTCTGGCCTCGGGGTATGTGATGGCGTGCTGTGACTCCCAAGGGCTGGGGCAGCCCTGCCCTATGGCCCTGCTGGGTGCAGCCCAAATGGCCTCTCTCCTGGGCTGCTCTGCTTGCTACCTGCAGCTTTCCTCAGCAGATGCTCCACGTTCCTGGCATCTCCAATTCCCTGGGGTCTCCACCACAGCTTTGGCTTCCCTCCCATAGCTTCATGCATCACTCTCTCAGGGACTCCTGGCAGGGACTCCAATCCTGTCACTCTTTTGCCTGGCCTGCCAGCTCTTCCTTTGAAATCTGGGTGGAAGTCTCCATGCTCCCGTAATCCTTGCCTCCTGCATGTCTGCACATCAGTGTCATGTGGACGATGCCAAGGTTCACCACCTGCTTGAGCAGCAGCCAG